CTCCTCAAACTGCTTCAGGGACAAAGTTTTAAAAAAGACATTCACAGCCGCTCTTTTATCACATGATCTGCTGGGATTATAAGGCTCTACGAGGTCTTTAAGATACGATGGAGCCTTGTCATTAAGGGCTTTGTATGTTAGGAGAAGGATTTTAAATTCTATTCTGAATTTTACAGGGAGCCAGTGGAGAGAAGCTAATATGGGAGAGATATGATCTCTCTTGCTAGTTCCTGTCAGTACTCTGGCTGCAGCATTTTGGATTAACTGGAAGCTTTTTAGGGAATTATTGGGACATCCTGATAGTAAAGAGTTACAGTAGTGGCTTCTTTCAGTGATACAACCTATGAAAATGAAGGCAGCATGAGAGTGCAGCCAAGTACAAGAGATTACTCTGTCTCATGGCGTCAGTGTACACATGTCTCATAGTTATATTTATGCCACAGGTTTTACTGGAGTTTTGGCACTGGCAGAGCTACATATGTCACCACTGTACTCTTAAAGGGACAGTACACTACCCAAATTAAACTAAATATACTGTACAGTATTTTATGACTATGAATAGTATGTATAGTGAGTAGGAGTGGTTATATGAATAAAAATCCAAATGGGATTTTGTGATATTCATATGAAGTATATTTGATATTAGGCTATAAGGTAACTTTATGTTAATTGCTAGTCCAGTGAATCACCTGTCAACTCAATCATGTACAATAATTAAGTTGCTATTATGATATGTTTATATGTTAATACTATGCTATAATAAAAAGCTAAGAACTGTGAGTTTGTGTTGAATGAATAATGTATTTGACTTAAAGATTGTCCTATAGGTTTCTACAGTGAGAATGTTCTCATAGATTTAAGATGGATGCTGGAACAAATGACAGCAATTTGCACAATGTATGAGCAGCTGAAGCACAGCAGGGCCTTGGCTTCCTCTGAATAGAATTTGCAAGTTCAAGGCATCATAAAAATGCAATGGGTTTTATGCTAAAATCAGCTTTAAAATGACTCTTACTCCTAAAAATAAGAATGTAATCTCATACTGTGACTACTTTGTCCCAAAATATTACAACTTTATTCTCAAAACCTCTGATTTGCTTATGTCTTTTGCCTTTGTTTGTGTCTGTTACAGTGTACTGAGGTTCACATCTGTCTCCTTGTAGGTCACTGGTGGTGCTGAGTGTAAATAATGGAGCTGAAGGTGTGGGTGGAGGGTGTGGCCAGAGTGGTGTGTGGCCTGTCATTGAACACTTCATGTCAGGATGTTGTCATAGCTCTTGCACAAGACATAGGTAAGCAGGCTCACACACTTAAACACAGTTTTAGTAATAATCATCTTGAATTAAATTTTCAAATAATGTGCTGTTGTATAGTTTTCAATGTCATACAGGACACCAATGATTTATACATCACTAGTTTCAGTTTTAATTTTGGTTTTACTTACTGTCCCAACTTCTGATTTGGGGTTGTATTAATCCTGTGTGTATCTTTGGCTTCTGCAGGTCAGACAGGTCGTTACATTCTTATCATGACGCTTCAAGGGAATGAGAAACAGCTGGTTGCAGATGACTGTCCTTTGCAGATTCTGGCTCAGCTGGGGCAGCTGGCTGCAGAGGTCCAGTTCATCCTGCAGAGGACTGGTCCCAGCCTCAGTGAGGGTCAATGCACACCAACCAGCAAGAGACGTCATTCCCAGCCCAGATCATCAGAACCAGAGTCCCCCAACCACAAAGAGCCACACAAGGAACCTAGTAGTCCGTCAACACTCCCCAGAAGGACTAAATTAAACAAAGCCTCCCCAGAAACACGAGCTTCCCCTGTCTCTTTCCTAGATACTCTCAGTTCTGTGAAGGCAATTCCCTCTTACTCCTCTAAAGAGGAACTGTGTAAGCAGATTCTGCAGCAACAGAGGAAGCTACAAGAGCTGGAGATACAGATCCAAGCTCTGGAGATGGAGACAAACATGTTGGAGCGGGAGATATCTTCAGCCCCTAGTGTGACTCTGGGCCTCACAGAGGAGCTAAAGACACTGGAGCAGCAGCTCAAGCAGAACGAGGTAGAGCTGATGTACGGAGAGCACTGGGAGGGGCAGTTAAAGGAAGAGATGGACAGAGAACGAGGTACGTGTTCCACTTTGTTTACATCTTCCACAGCTTTTGCCAAGTGTCTTCATCCTGTGACATTTCTAAAGCCCAGCATATTGACGCTATTATCAACAGATATGCACAGACGTCTACATGAGATACAGTTGTCAGTGGATGATTACGGTGGGCAGCTCAAAGAACTCCAAGCCAGTTCTGCACATCTAGAACAGGACATATGGCTCACAGCACAGAGCCAAAGCTCTCGGGCAGTCACTCGGCAGCCAGACAAGGCGCTGAGGTCTCTGCAGCAGGAGTTCTACAACCGACTGCAGCAGGCAGAGGAACTGGAGGGAGCACTGTTAAAGGCACAGTGGGAGGTGCAAGCTGCAGAGGAAATGCTACAGGTAAAACTCCTCCATCATCTAATATTATTCTGATGGCTTGGTCACAGTGTTATAAACTCTCATGATCAGTAGATTGACTTCATGGAAATGAGATCAACTTTGGTCAACTTTGATTTGATTTGATTTATTCTTT